ACACCTTAGTCTTCAAGCTGACATCATTGCCGTTGTTCTTCAGTATTTTGGAAAGGTTCCTGAGAGTAGATTTGTCCAATGAAATAGGTCTTCTGATCGCCTAGTTGCTGGTGCCAGAGATGCTGATTGTTGATCCAAGCAAGATGGAATCATTGACAGCTTAAATCATTCCTCTATCTGTCATGACTTTGTCTGTTGGCTCTGCGGTGAGGGCCTTTGTTTTCTTGATGTTGAGTGTAATCTGCATCAAAGGTTGTAGTTCTTGATCTTTGGCAACAACTTCTTCCTCACATTCAGCAAGCAAGGTTGTGTCATCTATATAACACAGTCTATTAACGAGTCATCCTCCAATCGTGATAGTCCAGCTTTGCGAATGATTTGCTTAGCATACAGATTGACCAGTTATGGAGAAAGGACACAACCCTAACACACACTTCTCCTAATTTTAACCCTGCAACATTCCCCTCATCCATTTGGACAACAGTTTCTTGATCTATGTATAGATTCTGCATGAGTACAATTAAGTTTCTGGGATTCCCATTCTCAATGATAGCCAGAGTTTTTATGATCCACACCGTCAAATACCTTTGCGTAGTAAATAAAACATAAATAAATATTCTTCTGGTATTCTTTTCAAGAGACAAGATCTCTTTGACATCAGCTTTCAGACAAGATCCAGTCGACAACAGCAATGGCATCCCTGGTGCCACAGCCTCTTCTAATCCCCAACTGAATGTCTGGAAGTTCTCTGTCAACGGACATTTTTGGATGATCTTAAGCAATATTTTGCTTGTATGTGATATTTAATGATACTATTGTGTAATTTCCACATTCTATTGGATCACCTTTCTTGGGAATGGGCACAAATATTGACTAATTATGCAAGAATACTACTACATACATTGAATAATTTTGCACCAGACTAGAAATATGTTGAGTTTGATCTCTAAAATTATACCTACAAATACTTAAGCATGTAAATAGTCCAGCACAGTGTCAACAACTGTGTGTACTAATTATGTCATTAATAGAGCTAATTGTAAAAGATCACGTCAACTGAACTACTGAGGCTGGAAGGGAAAGGGAATAAAGAATGTAATCTATTACATCCCAAAATATTGTACTAGTCAACCAGGCTTTTTAAAAAGACTGGAACAACAGCCGACTTAATAAAAATCTCATCTTTTAAGTCTCAAAGGAATAAAATACTGATTAGAATTTGTTTTAGGAAAAAGGAATCACAAAATCAGTTATTTAATTCCTATTGAAAAAATAAAGCAGCTGAGAAAAGTATAGTGAAAACAAAGTAATAGTATTAAAATAAGCATGTGTTACAGAAGATGGAGTTCAGTGATTATTTTACAAATTCTTTCCACGGCACTCATCCAGTTCTTTCTGTTGTTATGTGCCTTTGAGTTGGAAATGTTTAATAGCTACCCTCCCTCCACTGGATTTTCAGAAGCTGTAAATCACACAGCAGAAGACTGCCCATCTTTCTCTCTCAGAGTTGTTAGTGGATCTGAACCATCTGCCTTTGGGTTGGCAGTGCAACTCCTTACCCAGAGGCTACCAGCGCTCCCTAGTTTTAAAAGTTTAGATGTATATGATCCTTAATAGAAATGTTATCTGCCATAAAAACAGACAGTAGTAAATATGGCTTGTTTGAATAATTGCTTCTACAAAGAATAAACTATAAAGCCATACCCAAGATCACTGAGTCAATTCTGAGTCATGGAGACTTCCGATGGGTTTCTGAGCCGATAAACCTTAAGGGAGAAATTGTCCCATCTTTCTCCTTTAAAGTGGCTGGTGGATTTGAATGGTTGACCTTTTAGTTAACAGCCCAGCAGGGAACACAGTATGCCACAGAGTTCCTGTGCAGAACAGGAGATCAGAAAATACCTTCGATATGGTACATTAGGAATTATCTAGCATATAAGCTATTCCTAATAACAATCAGGTTTTTAACTACCAATAAACATTTTTAAATACATTAACAAGTGATTACAACTATTCTTTGACTCTCTTCACACATAGTTTAAGTTTTATTCAGTATACAAGCTACCCTTCCAGATTTTGTCTACAGGTAATAAACATTATTAAAATGAAAATATATTCTTATTACATGATGCCTATAAATGTCTTCTCTGGTGAGTGCCTAGATTTTTATTTCATGAGTGGAAAAAAGGTGGATGTCACTTGTCAGACAATTCCCTAACCCAGAAAAAAAACATACATGAAAACTGTAACAATAAGCTAATACTACTGTTCAAAAAAGTATTACCTAACAAGTCAGTAATTATTTTTAATTATTAAATAACTTAAAATTTAAATTATTAGAATAATTTAAACGAAGATACATTCTAAAAAGCAACAACTCTAAAACCTACTAAAAACTGTATAAAAACAGAATACTTGGCACATTTCCTGCTGAGATGCTCATTACATAATTAATAGTTTTTATGACCCACTTTGCTAAATAAGCTCATGTTTCTTTTCATTTATAGGAGAGTTATTGACTTGGTGGATGGATGTAAATATTTATTTATTTTTACTCTCAGGGAAGTAAAAGTAATTATAGATCCTGTAGAGAGAGAATAATGACACAAAAAGATGAAACATTAACTTTGTGCATTAATACTATTCTCTTACTTCAGTGCATGAATTATAGTTAAGCTGTATAACATAAGAAGTCAATTTTGAAACAAGAAAGCAGCAACTCAAATGTTTTCAAATATAGACAGCCTACAACTTACACTGAGGCTCCAGACTAATGATTTCCTCATAGTGGATTCTGACAAAAGTCACATAGTTTTTTAAAAATTTTTTTAAATTATTACTGCCTTTTATTATCAGTGTTTTTATAAATCAAATATTTTTGTTGGAGGTTAGAAATATTACAGACTAACATCTGCAAGTGAATTTCTGGGAGTGTTAGCATCAGCAAATTTCATGCTGTTAACACCCTATGTATATATTGTTACTGTTATTGTTGTTGTGTACAGTCATGTGGGAACCAACCCACAGCTGACCTACTGGTGGATTTTTAGAGGCAGTTAATTGCATGGGAGGAGAATGCACATCCTTCTCCTGTGAAGCAGCTGGTAGATTCAAATTGTGTGCCACTGGGATTGCAGTGCAGCTTCTTACTAAGCCACCAGTTCTCTTTTACATACATATTACTAATGATAAAATAAGCATAAATAAATAAAGCACCAAGAACATAACCAAATTTAAGTATGGTTCACCACATATGTGTTAAGTCTGGGACAACTTGCAGATAACTATCATTCTAACTATAGGAGTATATCATACAATCTATTCAAATATGGTACTAAAGGGGTTTTGACGGAGTACAGCATTATAGGTTGGACTAAAAGAAAGGTCAGAGGTTCGAATCAACCAGGTACTTGTTTGAAGAAAGAGACACTTCTCTAGTACAGCTTATAAATGTTAACAAGAGGAGACTGTTCATCTCTCTCCTGCAGAACACAGGGAGATTTCAACTGTTGGAGGTATCTGGCCTCTTGATTAGCAGTACAATATACTACAGTCTCTGCCACTAGAGTTCCTTACAAAGATTTACAGCCTTGAACTGGGTTGACATTTCATAGTAATGAGTTGGGTTTTCTGGAATTTTTTCCACTTGCTATTTGATTCTCCAGAGTACAGTCAATACTATCTTTTCTTTACATTAGACTAAACTTTTGTATCCTCTTCAATATTTATAGGCAGTACATTATCTCTAATTGTACATAGTAAGAACTCCAAATGTTAGAGAAACGTTTACTTACCTACCTATTCACCTAAAATATAAGAATTTATAAGACAAGATTATTTCAAAGATAAAGGTCAAAATTACAATTCTCTGGAAGTTTATAGCCAATAATTATATAATATTAGTTAAGGAGAGGAAGACATTTAGTCTAGATACAAAAGTGATCCATATAGAGTATGGATATTCATGAAATAAATGCTTCTCTGATCATAAATTGTTGCTGTTGTCATGTGCCACTGAGAACCAACTGATAGCTGACCTTCCTGTGGGTTTTCAGAGGCAGTGAATCGCATGAGAGGAGACTGCTCATCTTTCTTCAGTGGAGCAGCTGGTGGATTTGAACCACATGCTTTGGGGATTGCAGCACAGCTTCATATTATTAGGTCACCAGAGCTCCTGATCATAAATTAAAAAGTATCATTTATAAAAAGTATCACTCCCAAGAGAATCTATTTTCTCTTCAAAAAGCCAAATCATTAACTCATGCATTTGAAAAGAAAGTGAATACATACTCTATACAAGAAAATGTGCCAAATATTGTGAAGAATGTAAAATTATATAAAACTTGGTTAATCTCTTCCCTAAAGTGAGTTTATGATTAGTTACTGACAGCATAAAAATTCCAACATAGGGTGACCCCATGTGTATCAAAGCAGACCTATAACTATAAGGTTTGCAATGATTGTTTTAATCAGAAATAGCTCTTAGGGTCTGTCTTTTTTATCAATAGTCCAGGCTGCTTAAAGCACATGTTGTTGTTGTTATGTGCCATTGAGTCATTTGCAACTCATAGCGACTCCATGTACAAGAGCCCTAAACGCCGTTCGATCCTGTGCCAACCCTGCCGTCTCAAACACACTCATTCCCACCACTACACTCACAGAATCGATCCATCTCATCAAGGGTCTTCCTCTCCTTTGCCATTCCTCCACTCTCCCAAACATGATGTCTTTCTCCAAGGACCAGTCCCTCCTTGCAACATGCCCAAAGTATGGCAGAAGAAGCTTCAAAATCCTTGACTCCAAGGAGCATTCTGGCTTCACCCTCTCCAGGACAAACCTGTTTTTTTCTCCTAGCAGTCCATAGTATATTCAACACTCTTTTCCATAGAGACTTTCAAATAAGCATGCAAGTCTCTTTAAAATGTTTCACCCACTTGAGATACAAAATCTGAACAAGACAATGTCAGGAAATATTTGAGTATGCCTGAAGTGGCGTTTACCTGATCTTGTAGTGACATCACTGGATTATTTTTGGTAGTGTTGATGTGAAGAACATGGTATTTATTCTTCGCACATAGGTCATAGGCGATATTGGTGAAAGAGGTGCTTGCAGTTTTGGGGACTCTGTTATAAATGATCACCATATCCTCTTCTTCATCTAAAGCTACATCTTGCCGAGGGCCATCCATTGTATGTCGCTGTTCAATTTCTCGTACTTCATGTCTGGCAATAGCCCTTTCTGCAAAGAAAAGCATGTAAAGAATTTTTCAAGAAAATAAAAAGAAACTCATGAACACTGAACATCTGATCATGATCACACTCATTGTTGTGGAGTCAGAACCAACCCAAAACTGACCATCCCATGGATTTTCCAAGACTATAAATGGCATAGGAGGAGATTGCCCGTTTTTCTCACAAGGACACATACTGGTAAATCCAACAATGAGTCCATGGGTCATAATAGTGAAAGATAAAACCACAGATTAAAAAAAAGACCAAACATCAACGCATAAAAAAAAAAAACATGGATAAAGAGTTTTGAGCTGAAAAATTCAGCCGACTGTAAAATAGCTAGAGCCTACAGCATAGTTTTCTGGTACAAGGACTAAACCTGGGCAGTTGAGGAAGTATTTTGAAGACCAAAAATTCAGAATACCTTTGACGGGTAATCCACATCAAAAAAACAGAGGAAACAGAATCATCAAATTTACAGTATCACAGACCACAGTACAGTTTAGAAGTCACCTCACAGTCCAAAAGAATTTCCATTAACTATCAAACATACAAAGAAAAAACTATGGCATATAAAACTTGATGGTGAATAAATACACTTAGAAAATAATTTATTATTTAAAGATTATGAAAGTTATTATTTGGGATTTAGTTAATCTCTGTTTTTTTTCAAAACATGGTAGAGTAATGATTACTTATGACTTCAGGTAACAGTACCATAACTATCCTTACTCTTTTTGTCACTGAGTTACAGGTAAATCTTGGCTATGTTTAATCCTTATTTAAATATCTCATGGTTCCTCTAATTCGATCGAGTTGAGTTTTCAGTTTGCTATTTACAATCTTCTACTCTAAGAACAAAAACAGATTCATCCTGGAGAGGGTTAAACCAAGCTACTCCTTGGAGATAAGGATTCTGGGGCTTCATCTGACATACTTTAGACATGTTGTAAGGAGAGACAGGTCCTTGGAGAGGGACATCTTGGTACCATGCTTGGTAGGGTGGAGGGACAGTGCAGGAGGAGAAGACCCTCTATGAGGTGGGCTGATTCAGTGACTGGGGTAATCGGGATGGGTGTGTCAGAGGCAATGCGATTGGCACAGGATAGAGCAGGGTTTAGGGCTGT